GTCAGCAGTTAATAGTAAATCAGAAGCAGGATACCAGTGCTATTTTTTTTTTAAGTTAAGACCCAGATTCACATAGAAAACCATGTAAGATATATATAAGGACCTAACATTTTCACAAGTAACAATTTTAAAAAGTTTAATTTACTTTGACACTGGAAAGTAGAATAAGCAGGTTTGAGAGAGTTCTAATGTTCAACCAAGATATCATAAATGGTATTGTAACTTGGCTTTAGTGCTAAATTGTGCCATCTTTAAAGGGTTTTTAGAAAATCAGAATTTGAGTAGCTGGGGATAGTTGAATGGCTGGATGGACATGAAGTGTAGAAAAGAATAAATTAAAATTCATATTAAAGTATATTAGAGAAAAGTATTTCAGGAGTTTAAGTTGCAAAAATTTAGTTTTATGCAGAATATCAAATTGAGATTGCTCTTTTCCATTGTAAAGGTAAGTACCATTTTGTGAAATCAGTCTCAGTTTGGATATGTATATGAAAATAATGTGTCTGTGCACCATATGTTTGAATCAAGTATAAAATCTATTTCTTCTTATGGGTGATGGTAAAAAATGTATGAAAGCTGTTTTATTAGGACACAATAAAATGAAGAGTTTAACTTTAGTATGGAAAACTTCCAGTTAAGAGGGTGGACTCAGCCAATACGGGAAGCTCCCTTCTTGTTTCTCCTATTAGAAACATCAGAGGAAATAACCAGGAGAGATAGTATTTTTGATGATGTGATATTCTTAGAACATGGCAAGACTTGAAAGCAAGAAAAGGGATTCTCTAGGTGTCAGAAACAAAGAGGAAAGTCTGATAGTAGAAAGTGAACTCAACAGTGTATGGCCCTCAGAGAAAATATCTCATATGGCTTAGAGGCCTTAGTGTCCATATAGGAATAAGACTCAAGGCACAGGCTACAGGTGCCAGAACCACACACTCATAAAACCTAGAAAGAGCTGTCCTTTCCACGTCAGACACTAGAAAAATGCACCCCCAGCTCCCACCCCTTCTATAAAATGGAAGAAACTGTTATTCTCAGGAAACCAGAGACTGGGTCTACTGTCTGCATTACCAATAACCTAGTGCAGAAGCTCTAAGCCTCAAAATGATGCAGAGCCCAAAATCCTCCATAGGTCTTTACCTAGAAGGAAAAAAACCCACAAAACTATGTCACAGATATAGCTCAACAACCCAGGGGTTTGATCACAGATTCTCTTGGAACAAAACAGCTCCTGCCAAATGATCACACATCTAAGAATAACAGCACATACACAGGAGCCACCTATTTTGAGAGATTAGAAGATGGCATATGATCAGGCAGTGTTATACACAAGAAACTAGAAGTAATTAGAGCAGTCTGAAGGAAACCTTCAATTAATCTTTTAAAAATATTGTAGGGAGTGAGAATTCATTAAACAAGCCTAAAATGTTACCAAAAAAGAACAGGTAGATTTCAGAGACAGACAAATATAATTTTTAGAAATAATATTTGTATCTGGGAAGAGAAATACAAACCATGTAAATTAACCCAAGGAAAATCAAACTATGAAATCTGAAATTTCATGACTGGATAAGAAGGTCAGATTATAAAACCAAAGATAAATTTGAGACATAATCTTTTAGAAATCTAAAGCTAGCTTAATACTAAAGATCTCATTTTGCCAAAGACTCTAACATATCAAAACCTGCCAGTGAATTTCAAAGCATAACCCTTTAGCCTTAAAATTGATTGTCCCTGCTTAGTCCACTTGCTGTGGAATCATTAGTAGGAAGAAAAGTACAACTAATGGCAGTTCTTTCCATTTGTCACTCGTAAAACTTTGGGGAAATCAGTGTGGCTCTTATTATCAGTAATCTCCAGCTTTGTGCAATAATTATTTATATAAATTTATAAAATGAGTGTTGTGAAAGTCTTTACAGTTTAACTCCTTGGGAGTATACTGTCTTTACTGTTTCTTCTCCCTTCCTATAATTTGTTATTATATGACAATATCATTATTATTTTGGTTACTATTAGATAGTTTTCTTTAGACATTTGCTAACATTTGTGTATGGAGATTACTATTCAGTCACTTTGACAGAATGTATAGTACTTGAAATTGTTTTTCTTGTAGTGGTCCTGAGTGCAACTTTGATTTTCCATATCCCTCATGTGCCATAGCTCACATTTTTGACGAGTTTGGGGTACGGTTTGTAGTAATAGAATAGATAGCTTTCTGCAAAAGGTAACTGGTCCCAATGGGGTTCAAACTTGTGATCTTAGCCTCATTATCACACTTTTGTAACCATCAGACCTAATAGATATATTATATGTATTTTAGTCTATAGTCTTGAAATCAAGTCATATTTTTAATTACTCAAGGTTTATTTCAAATATGTAATTAAAAATCACTTTGGGGCATTTCTCACTTTTGTTTGATAGTAAAAGTAACAAAAGTAAAGCAGACAGCCAAAGAACCTAACTCACTTTTCATCTTCCCTGTGTTTTCTATGACAGGGAAAGTCACAAAAGTGAAGCTTGCAGGCAAAGACCTAACTCACTTTACGGAGAGTGTCACGGTACCTTTTTCTTTTAGTGAGGCTATAGCAGGTCTGATGTCAGTCACTTTAGAGACCTTTAGACCTCAGTGCTCATTTATTGCTAAAATGTACCATCTCTGCTTCTGCATTATGAAGATCATCTGTCAACACTTTGAGATATTCTCCTTTGTTATTAAGCTTGTGATGCTCTACACTGTCAGGTTTTTTGCCAATTATAGTTAAGGTACAATAGTGTATTCACCAGATCAAAGTCTCACATTGGCGGTGGAGGAATGATTTGTAAGTCTTTATTCATCTGAATTGTACAATAGAACACCTGAGGAATGCAAATAATCCCTCCGAGGAATCTGCAGGAAAGGCTGTTAAAATGACAGGGTAAAACTATTGTTATTCTGAATTGATATTTTAGCCAAAGTCATTATTTCTTATCTTGTTGTCTCATAACTGTTCTAGTTTTATTAGCTATGTTGACCATATTTTTGAACCAAAATGTGTATGATATTTTTGTTTTCTTTCGCATGGGCTTGTTTTATTTTACTTTCATTGAATCTATATTTAGTACGTTATTTTTCCTTTTTTTAAAATTACATTTCTGATTTCTGATTCTGGCTTGCATAATGTATATTACTAAACCATCAATGATAAATTTTAAAATACAGTTTTGTTTGAATAGTGTAAGTCTATAAAATAAGTTAGACTCTCATAATGTTCTTTCCTTCATAATTTTGGATAAGAAAACAACTGGTTTGGATTTCCTCTTTTAAAGGACATATATTTGATTCCAAAATACATCTTAGGGATTGGTCCATTATTTCTAGGATATGACCAAAAGGAAAAAAAAATATTACAAAGATTAAAAATCACTGATAATTTTTTTTTTTTTTGGCCACACCATGCAGCATGTGGGATCTTAGTTCCCCAATCAGGGATTGAACTTATGCCCCCTGCAATGAAAGCATGGAATCTTAACCACTGGGCCACCAGGGAGTTCCCCATTGATAAATATTAAATAAATTATAGGTTAGCCTTATATAGCAAAATGTATGAACTGTTGTGTGAGTTTTTCACTCCTTTATCCCATTCTACTCAGTAGTCCATGTTCTTAATTCTCTGATAACTCTGATCACTGCCATTTTCTTTGATGGTCAGTATTAGAGTTTAGTTCTTGTGTTTCTTGTCCACTGTAGTGACATTTACATTGTTTTTTAAAGGATTTTTGCCTCAATTTTCTAACAGGATAGTTATTAAAACCTTGGTCTAAATATGGGAGCTAAGTATAAGACTGATATACATTGAACTGTGAAATCTATACCCATTTCCATACTAAGTTCTATCCCAGAATCATAGGCATGTCTGCTGTGATTATCTGAGAGTAAAAAATATTAATAGTAATTGCTGTTAATATTTGTTTATGATATGCCAAACTTTACTTTTCTAGGTTCTTTACCTACAGTATAATATGTACTCTTACTATTTCCATGAATAAGGAAACTGAAGTTTAGAAAAGTTTAGAAACCTGCCCAAGAGTAAAAAGCTAGCATAGTGGTAGGATCAGAATCTAGTTAATACACTTACTACACCTATATCATTTATGCTCTAACTGCCACTTTGCTAAATTACTCCATGCTTACAAAATTCTGTAAAGCAATTATCCTTCAATAAAAAAAAAAAGAAAAAAAATTACATGCTTGGGAAGAAATCACTCAATAATGATTTTAAATTTGAAATGATTCTAAAAAGAATCAATAATGTCTTTTCAGGTAATACTTGATATCAATTTCCTAACTGATTTGGCTTTCCAAACCTTTTTCTATTAAAGGAATTTATTTCCTCTGTAGTTCTGTTATTCATGATCCTACAAAAGTGAGATTCATAAGAACAATGTATACACAATCAACTAGGTTTGTAAACCTGTATTTTTGGACTTTTGGGGGGATTAGCAAAAATCTCAAAACCAGTGACAACTGTAAGGTCTTATTAGTCCAAGAAGGAATTGAACCAGGCATATAGATATCTGGAGGGAACAAATTATTTGTCAGAGCTCCTCAAAATTAGCTGATACTTTTAGGTGTGATTCCTATAAATCCAGAACTTTGTGTTTTTTGCTTTTTAAAAATTTACTTTGTAAAGGAAGATAATAAATCATAACATTGAGATTCTCAAGGTCACAGGTATTAATACTGAATGAATTTAGTGTAACTGCAAAAAGTTTTAAATATTTGTATCATAGTTCCTATAGATAATATGTTAAGGTAAAACTAGATTACACTAAAATATTATGGCGTATACCTGAAGCAGTTGCTGCCTGTTAATGCCTTGACCTTGGAAAGCTATACACAAAAAGATGGCATCATAAAACCGTGCAATTCTTATGAATATGTATGTGCTACTTGATAATAATGAATGTGGTACAGTCATGCATGCACTACAAGATAATGTTGTGCCCTTTTTTGTCTACAGGTTGATAAAAATTAAAGAGTGGGTGGACAAGTATGACCCAGGTGCCTTGGTCATTCCTTTTAGTGGGGCCTTGGAACTCAGGTTGCAAGAATTGAGTGCTGAGGAGAGACAGAAGTATCTGGAAGCGAACATGACACAAAGGTTAATTAGCATTCATTTTCCCTACACTTTATTATCAACTATTTCCTTGCAGTAATTTAATTGCTTGCGCTGATAGAATAATAAATGACAGAGTAATTACCATTATAAAGAGGGAATCTTCTCCTTTCTTTACCATGAGACAGAGTGAAAAGATTTATTTTAAATTAAGTTTTTAACTGTCATCTGTCATCTCCGTACAGTGTTTTAATTATAACATAGGTATTAGTTATGTATATTTTTGAGAAGGAATGATCGCCAAAACTCTTTCGTCATGTTCAGTGGGGGCGGGGAAAGAGTGAATCAGTTGCCTTAATTTTTTCTGAGTAACAGTAATATATTGTTTAAACATTGGATTTCAATCAAATAATTTTGCTTTCATGACCCACGTCTGGGAAATAATTGATACTGGAGGAAAATAACCATAGAATGGGTAGATCAAATTTTTCTTTTTCTATAGTAAACAATTCAAAATGATATATTCAGACTAATATAATTAAAACTAATTTTTGAAGAGGTTTTTTAGGAATAGTTACATGCTTTCTGACCTCTTCAAGTGTATTATAAAAGAAAAATGGTCATTTACTAATCTCTCTAACATTTTCTGCTTGAAATGAATATTTTAGGTTCATACTGATCTCTGGCACAATCTACTTATATGTTGAATTTGTTTCATTTTATTTCAGCGCTTTGCCAAAGATCATTAAGGCTGGGTTTGCAGCACTCCAACTAGAATACTTTTTCACTGCAGGCCCAGATGAAGTGCGTGCATGGACCATCAGGGTAAGATTCATACTTATTCATCAGCTATATCCAGTTCCACACTATTGAATTCAGATTGATATCACTGACTTTGAAGTTTGTCATGGTGGCGGTTAGCTAGTCATTACAGATGAGGTTTTTGTCCAGGATAACTTTAATTATTTGTGAGCTGCTGAACAGTGAAAGTGGAGCGGCATTGATTGAGGCAGGTAACAATTGATTCTGCCTATTACATAGTCTGAATTTCTTCATCCTGTAGAATCTGTCTACCCTCCTCCTGTGGTCAGAGATAAGACGCACCAGTATTGTGCTTGCTTAATCTGTGTGACTGGGTTTGTCTGCAGTGAAATTGATGTTGCTTTTCATTTTGTATTCGCTAAGTTTGTTTGGGTTGCGGGTGGTTCTTTCCTCCTTTGCTTTGCTCGGATTACATTTTCAGCAATAAAAGCAATATGACATCATTATGCTCTTCATAGATACACAGTTGGGCTCAAAGAGCTAAACTCAATGTGTAATAATTCATGCCTTTTAAAATTTGAATTTATAGAATAGTGTTTATTTTTACAGTGATTTATATTCAGTCTTCTTTAATAATGTGATGTGTATTTTTAAAATATTGATATATAACTGATTGCCACCAGAAAGAATGCCTAATTTATTCCCAAAGGACAATAGAAACAGAACTGTAATGGCTGGCTTTTAAATGAAAATACATTGTAATACGGTAGTTACTGTTGAAAAATGTTTTGAAACATATGTAATCCGAAATCGTGTTACAGAGTCTAAAAATAACATCCGAACTTTCAGAAATATTCAGTGTCTTACTCATTCTTTTATTATGCTTTCTTAGTGTATGGTACATCCTAATTTTAGGGCTGCTTTCATTCCTGTTTTCATGGACTACATTAATTTATTATTACATTTATTTTGATTTAAGATGGATAGGAACATGAAGTCAGTTCAACATAATATTAAAGGCGTTGTGTGAATGTGAGATTCACTTTTCTTTGATCTCTTCTTTTCTTTGTTAAAAAAAATGCTTGATTGACTTATAACTAAGGTCCTTTTATATCGACATACAAATTATGTCAAAGCAATTTGGGTTGGTAAACAAATTGCCAGGGTTTATTTTTACTATATATTTTAAAGCCTTAAAACTTCCAAACTTAAGTATGTGCAGAAGGAAAGATAACATGTTCTGGGCTTGAAAATGTGAAAGCTGGTTTATCTTAAGACTGATTGTAAGTACCCATGATTTAATGTGCTAGGATATGTAGTCAGGTAAGCATCAGTGAGTAGCCATATTAACCCAATACATCTTTCATTGTAAAAACTGTGCTTTGTGGTGTCAGACTCCTTATCACTTTAACATGCTTTATTAAGCAGCCTTTAGGTCACCATTATTTCTCAAATTTCTTTCCATGGTTGTGTGTGTCTGGAATGTATGTCCTTGTAGTTTAACATATGGGGTAATTACAAGACATTTCTCTTCCTATATCAACTTGAATTTTCTCTCATGGTGGTTAGAGGCAGGGTTTACTATGTAAAGTGTTCAAAATTTTATGAGGATTTTAAAATTATTTGCTGAACATAGATTGTATGATTTGTTGGAAATGTCTTAAAAATGTCCCTTTATATATTGATTTTTATATGTTCTTTAGATGAGCTGAAATTTTCAAGGCTTTTTATCTTTTTAAAACCTTTGATAATTCAGTTTGAAAGCTACTTTTAAAATCCTTATTTTTTTTTTTCCACTGTGAAGAATAGAAAATCAAAATGAAACCTACACCAAACCAGGCCACTGCATCTAAATCGATAAATCTGTGGATGACTGTTAGGAAAAACAAAGCTACGCTTCTTTAACATCTACTGATTTGTCTGTGCTAAATCTGCTGCACAGATAGTGCCCTATATTGAAAATGTTCTAATTGTATATCAGACATCTTAACTGTTATTAAACTAAGTTTAAGTTGAACCCAACTGCAGATAAAAGAAAAGAAACTCTACGCTTTCCATCAGTCATCTTAAATGCAATTATTTTCCCCTGGTCTTCCTTTTCAAAGAAAGGGACGAAGGCTCCTCAAGCTGCAGGAAAGATTCACACAGATTTTGAAAAAGGATTCATTATGGCTGAAGTAATGAAATACGAAGATTTTAAAGAGGAAGGTTCTGAAAATGCAGTCAAGGTAAGGAATTATTTTCTAGTTTAATACTTAATAATTTTTGCTAATATGAAGATACTCATGCTTAAAATGAATGATAACGATCTTTTAAATTGTCTCAGCATTAGTGTTAACTATCAACTGTATGTACTAACAACTGAGCCATAGATATTTACATACTTTTAGGCATTTTTTAATGTATAAATTGTTAGTAATTTTGTGGTTTTTTCTAAAACTGAAAAAGAAATTTTAAAGCTGGCTTTAAGTAGTTATCAATAATTTCAAAGAATTCGTTCACTGATGACCAGTGAAAACTTGCACTTATTATACTTGAATATCATAAATAAAAGTAGTATGTATGCATATGGATTAATTCAAGGAAAACAATGTAAATTTAGTCAAGTGAAACCTGTTTTTGCTGAACTTCACGGTTGTACTTTTTTTAAAGAAAAAGATCTCTGAGAGCTTAATTTGCTTTCTCAACACTAGAGGGCAGGTCCAAAATTGTGCTTTATTTTAGCTAATAAGTATAATTTAGTTTGCATCCACTAATAGTGAAGCTATGTTATACAGACGTAATGAATGATTTCTTTTAATTTAAACTCTGTTACAGACTTGATTTTGTTTGACTTTATTAGGTTTACTTAGCAAAATCCAGTAGGTGTGTCAACTCTAATCCCCAGACAGGTAGGGAGGTAAACTGACCTTATAAGCAGGGTTCATTACCTGTAGTTTGTTATTTGAGGACTGGTATAGAAGATGTTTTTAAAAATCTTTTAAAGAAGTCTTGTTTATTTCCTAATTTTAAAGAAATGCAAAAAAGTTTATTCTCATTGGTATTGGAGAGATCATATGGAATAGCAGGAGTATAATAGAATTGTTGAAACCCTAGAAAGAGAAGGGGGAAATCTTGGTGTAGTTGGTTCAATGTGGAATGAGAGCCATTTTGTTTTTTTAAAAGGAGTGAAAGAATACAGTTTATAACTAAACAAAGTCATTGACTTCTCAGTGTTGTCATCTGTGTCGATAGATAGATATGCTAGTTCAGTGTATTAAGATTGAACTTTGTCAAGAATACTAATTAGACTTGAAAAATCTCAGATTATTTTTTTTATCATGTTATGTCATTCTGGCATATATATTTTTCATAGACTAAAGGTTAAAATAAGGATATTTTTCTGTTACTAGAATTCAGAAATCAGATGCTTCTTTTTTATGTTCTCTTGGGATAAGCCTGTTTTACCAACCCTTAATAGATGTCTATGTTGTAATAAACTTGAAAGTTACATAAATTGTGAATACTTCCTTTAACAATACAGAAATTTTATAATATACAGTAAAAAAAAAAAAATTTGCCTGCTTGTAGAAATGCTTAACACACACACACACAAAATGCTTAACACTAACTAGGAGGTTTTATGCAATAAACTGGAAAAGGTTGACCTCTGGCTTTTCAGTATTTTATGCTTTTTTGTTTCTTTTTTTTTTTTAATTTCTAAAACTAACATTTCAAAATTTGAACTCCAAATTAAATAAAGCATTTATGAATTTCTTTTATTCAACAAATACTTGCATATTGTCACATAAGTTTTAGGTTTGAGAGCAAGATTGTGTATATGTGTATGTATGTATATGTATTTCAAACATCAGCGCAGCATAACTAATTTAATGCCAGTGCTGTGAACTATATACTGAATAGCTCTGTGGGCTTTGTAGTCTACAGGGATATCACATTATTAGCAATCATATCTGCTTAGGCAAAGCTGGCTTCTACAGATGGCTGCTTTCAAGTGCAAATGAACTGGTTAGACGTGTCTTGTTTAATACATACTCAAGATTCACAAATGGGTATTGATTTTTTTTTCCAACCAGTGTTTCTGATAGCAGTGGAAATGGATTAAATGGTCTCTAGAGAATTTAAAGGAACACTGTCACCTTTAATTAGTAGTAAACTTGAGTCATAACAAAGTATATAAACTTAAATTTAATATGTCATGTCAATTATGTATTTGATTTAAATTGTCTATATAGTTTTAGAACATTGGACTTTAGATTCTCAAAACAAGTAGCACACAACCTTCCATACATCACAACTTTGGAAAAATCATACAAGAGTATTGTGTGTTTGTGTATGCCTTTTAAAATGTTAGGGTATTATTGACTTTTTAAAAATTAGCTTCATTTTTAAAAGCACTTATTAGGTGATTTTTACATGTGGTCTAGATAATTGTAATATGCTTACTAGGGCTCTGTGACCTGTTTGTTGATTTTAACCTCAGATGTGTGATCTTTCTTAGTCTTGTTTCTGATTAGTATAATTGCACTTGACTTTGAACATTCTTATCAATATCTTCAAAGGGAAGTACTAATCTTGTTGGTCAAAGGTTTCATGTTCTCAATAAATTCCAGCAGAAGGAAAATACTTTTGAGAATTTTTTGTTTCTCTACAAGATCCTCAGGTCGTCCGTGTTGAGTGGTTGATGTCAGGTGGTGGGACGGGTTGGTGGTGAGCAGTGTTCGGTGTAGATGCATGGATGCTGAAGAGCCTGTGGTGCTGAGGGTGAAGTGTGTGTGCTGTGCCCTGCGGCGAACCTGAGTCTCTGCGCAACTGCTGCTTATTTGTATAAGAATCACCAGAAGATTGCTCATCTTGATCTGCATGCCAGCAGGTGGAATCAGTTGCTTTGCCGACTGATTTACAAGTGGAAAAAAATACCTATCTTTGCAGTTCCAACCTGTTAGAGTCTGCTTGTAACTAGGGCCATTAGTCAGTAAACTTCTGTATGTTGAATTTTAGTATACACCACTGTGTATGGTCATTGTCAAGATAAAATTAAAAACTACAAAGAAGCAATTTAAAATCTGTAATTACAATTGATAATTGTAGCATGCTGTGTCTTTGGCATCATCAGTATCACCAAAGAATTTCTTTTAAGTAAATATTGCAGCTTTAACCTAGCTATATAATCCTTTTTTCCTGCCTGGTTTGATCTGTTTGTTACAGTGACTTGCCGGATGTTTGCAGACACATCAGAAATGTACCATAAACAGCATGTAATGAAACTTAATGATATTGGTATAATTACATTTATGTACCAACAATTTAGTGGAGAATACATTATGATTATGTATGTATGGAAAATCTAGTGCTGCCCAAATCAGGAATACTTTGCCTCTCTCCAAGTCTAGTTTTGAACTTGTGTGCCTTCCTGTATTTTTTTTTTTCCTTTAATCTGACCCAAGACATAGAATAGTTTTTTGCATGTGCTCCTACCATTTACCTTATATATTTCATTATAAATGAACACATTTCCTTTGTATTTCTTATTTACAGGCTGCCGGAAAGTACAGACAACAAGGCAGAAATTATATTGTTGAAGATGGAGATATTATCTTCTTCAAATTTAATACACCTCAGCAACCGAAGAAGAAATAAATTTTAATTATTGCTCAGATAAATGTACAACTTCCAAACAGCATATACTTTTTTTTAATTAAAATTTCTGAAAACTGAAAGGGCAGGTAAAGTTGGGGTGATGGGAATCTTCCACAAACAATTATTTTTATTCGTTTTAAAATTGAAATACTGTGTACCTCCAATGAGCTGCAAGTTCACTAAACGTGAACAGCTTTGCTTTTCCCGTGATTAAGACCCTATTCCAAATTGTAGAAGCTTTTCAGGAACCATATTACTCTCATGATACTTCATTAATCTCCATCATGTATGCCAAGCCTGACACATTTGACAGTGAGGACAATGTGGCTTGCTCCTTTTGAATCTACAGATAATGCATGTTTTACAGTACTCCAGATGTCTACACTCAATAAAACATTTGACAAAACCAGCCTTGGTGTGTTTGGGGATGTCTGTATTGACTGACTCTGGTGTGCTGAATGCGATACGGCACCTGGCGGTTGCTGATTACAGAATTTTAAGGCATGCGTATGACACAGTAACTAGCGTGTGGGGCAGCTGCAATTGTATCTTAAAAGTGGGTCTTTCACAGGAATCAGAAGAATAGTGTATCAGGGATTTGTCTCCAGAAAGATAATTAATTTGTAGATGGACATTAATTGAAAGATGATAGCGATGATATTACAAAAGATATATCCTAGGTGACTATGACCAAAAAGAAAATAGTGCTGGGAAAAAATTCTGCCTCAAAAATGAAAGGATTTGTTGTTGTCGTTCTGACCACATTGGAGAGAATGTTCATTTTTAATCATTCCTTTGACATTATTGTGATGAAATTGTTGTGAAAACTAACCCATTCATATCTGATGAGTTATAATTTTGTTTCGATTCAGTAGTGAGTATAAAAAGTAGTTACTGAACAGATTAGATCTTGAAATTTTTAAAACTTTTAAAATACTTGCTATTAAAATATTTTAAGATGAGCTAAAACTTCAGTATATGCAAGTTAAGCACTTTCTAAAATTGTAGCAGAAAATTCTGAAAGAAAAATATGGTTAAGTAGTTATCTGGAGATCGTTTGCCACTTAGCCTTCTTCTCTTACAGGGACAGCGGTAGGTTCCTCCCTGAACCCTCCCTTTCTCTCCCAGTTAACACTCCTGCAAGGCTGCCCTTGTGATCAGAGGACCATTTCAGTGAAGTGCAGACCCCCAGCTAGGCCAGCTGCTGCCTCTACTGTGTTACTTTGTTACATTAAAGGTAAAAACACACATAAACTTAACACTGAAAGTTACTTAATGTAGCACAAAAAGCAAGAAGTGATTTTCAGGGCAATTTGCTATAAAGGGGGCTTCCCTGGTGGCTCAGATGGTAAAGAAGCTGCCTGCAATGCAGGAGACCTGGGTTCCATCCCTGGGTCGGAAAGATCCCCTGGAGAAGGGAGTGGCAACCCAGTCCAGTATTCTTACCTGGAGAGTTCATGGACAGAGGAGCCTGGTGGGCTATAGTTCATGGGGTCGCAAAGAGTCAGACACAACTGAGCGACTAAAACTTTCACTTCTTTAACGTGCTATAAAGAGGAAAGGGTGCTTAAAGAGGATTTGATTGAGTAATGAATACAGTTTAGAAACTCTTTAGTTGAGTATGTTCTTTATGAGAATCAGATACTGATATTCTTTTGCTAACATAAAAATCAGAACTGCAGCAGGGAAATAAGAATAAAATTAAGTGGAAAAAAAAATTTTTTTTTTTTTTTTAAGAATTAAGTAAAACATAAGTGAAACTCTTGTACAGGTGCAGTTGACCAAGTTTGCAGTGAAAATTCCTGTTATACTTCTGAATTGGAGAAATGTAGAGATTTGTGGATTGTTTGGGATTTCACCAATATAAGAAGAAATCCAGTCTCTTGCTTTTGAGTCCTCTCCAAAATAAATTGCATAGATGTCTTAAAGAAGTTTGGAATCTCATTAAAAAGGCTTCAAAAATGTGTAATTTTACTTTCTCTTAACTTCTAATGTGATAATTGCACATTGCAGAATAGTAGTTTTAATAAGAGACAGGAGTTTGTTTTGAGGTAACTGCCTTCATTAGGGTTGAAATTAAATGCTGAAGATGTTTAATTTGGTTAGAAGTCCTACAGTATTCTGTATATGTGTACAAATTTTTATTTGCTACAAAAGTTGAGAATTCCAAGAACTTTTGCGTATAGATAACTGGGTATATGCCTATATCTTCATGTTTTCCCTCTTTTAGTATTGGTGATAGTTAATGTATTTTTAGGATTATAAGTTAATTTTTTTCACCTGTCTGTAGATCCATCTTAATCAGATTTTTTGGTAAGAGAAATTTGATTTTTAAAAGTTCCCGATAGCATTTTTGTTTAGTTTTTATCATATTACCTTCATAACTTCACTTTGGGCTTGGCTCAAACCCTATTTTGATACCACTCCAGGGGAGCATTTCTGTATCTGCTTTCTTACACGGATAGTAGAGTTGCTTTCATGCTTTGGCAAGCAACCAAGGAGGGAAGAACCTGTCATAAGGGGCCTGTGTCTGTGGCCTGCAGGGAGGGCCCATGGAGCCCATCTAGTGTAGTCTCTTGCCGCAGGAGTGTGGAAGAGGGGGGTAAACATGATATGTTCAGTTTCTTTGGTCCTCCTCCTAGTCTTCATGCAAATTGCCACTTTTTTCTGGTGAAAAAAGGCATCTTGGTTGCCTTAGAGTATAAGGAGTAGAACAAATCATTTAATTTTCAATCACTTGTTCCTAGTCCTGTTGGCATTGTTTTATAAAACTTTACTCTCTAGATCATCAGTATAAACTATGTTTGAGGCAGGTTATTTGCAGGTTATTGCGTCCATCCTGTGTCGATTTTATTGTGAGAAAATGACTTTATAGGAGGATATGCTAGTTGTCTACCACGTGCATTCTTTCTTTATAGTGTAAATAGACAATAGCTGGGCGCCCAGCTGCAGACTATCAAGCAGACTCTGCAGCTAGGTAGAGGCCATGTGACTAAGTTCTTGTCAGAGGAATGTGAATGAATGCCCTAAGACCTTGGATACTGCTCCCCTCAGGAGCTCCTTTCCTTCCAGAAAACCTACAGTTAATCGCGCAAACAAAGACAGCACCTTAGCGGGCAGCAGAGCGAAGGAATGGCAGGAACCCGCATCTCTGAAGGACTCGTGAGCACGGCACACAGGACCTGACTGCCTCCCTTGGAACTGGACCGTGAAAGAGAAATAAACTGCACTCTTCTTTAAGCTACTGTATTCGAGCTGCCATATTTCTTTTGTAGCAGCTGGCTTTTTACCTTGGCAAAGATAGACATTTCCTGGTCTTGTCTCCGTTATACCTTCTTTAAAATTTATACCTTCTGTTCTGTGTTCTAAGCACAGATTTATTGGGTGGAAAGAGCTTCTAATCCAACCTGGATCAGGCATCACTGCTACTGCCTCAGTGTTGCCTTCTGTAAATTACTCCTCTCCTCTTAGATTCTTCACATGTATAATGAAGATCATAGATTAACTGGCCTACGGTAAAAGGACTAAAGAGAGTTCCAGGTACATAATAACCACACAACAAATGTAAATTCCATATAGTTACCTTTAACTTCACCCCAAAGTGTAGCCACTCTTAAACAGGCCTTATGAACCACACACAAGAAGACTATAGAGCGTGTATTTCTTAAATACCTGTCCTGTAGAAGAAATGTTAATACTTTATTGTTGCTAAAGAATATTCTGAAAGAGGAAATAGTTGAATTGAGTGATGAATGTTGATATTTTGCTAATAACATGCCAGGACCTCATCTAAATCATGGAATTCCGAGGCTGAAAATGTCATTTCAGACTATCTTGCTTAACTTACCTAGCCTATAAATAAGAAGTAACTGAGGAGCAGAAAGATTAAATAATGCTAACCGTAATGACAAGTCATAAAATGATAAGCTGTGTTGCAAAGATTATAAATTCTATATTTGGAAGTTGAAATTTTCACACAGAAATTGGTTATTACGTTTTCAGAATAGCCACAAAATCCCATTTAGCACAATGTAAACTGAAATACCACAGCGGTTTTGGACAGCAAGGGAAAAAGGGTAAGGAAATCCAAACATCTCCACTTGGCAGTTAAGGTCACTGACAATCTGCCCACGGCCTGTTTCTCTCTCATTATTACTTTTTTTTGTAAAGACACAAGGAAATTAAATCCCTTAACCAAATAACACAGCTCATTATTTTCTTTGTCAAAAAAAAAAAAGTAATTTTAAACCAGTACAGTAGAGCATTATTTGCATTGAATGACCCAGTTTGGCCTTAATGAATAGTAACGAGTTTGGGAGGGTAGTATGGAAATCCTGCTGGCCTGAATCACATAAACACCAAAGGTGTCAGCAGTCCACAATTTTCCTGTAATCCAGCCTAGGATATCCATGAGCATTTTCTAAAAATAAATAAATGACTAGGAATGCATAGAGATAACAGAATATCCAACAGACCCTTGTGGTGCCTCTATTTCTTCATCTTACCCTCTCTCCTTCAAATTATTATTACCATGAGAATCATAAAGGAGTATTTATTTAAAGGAAAAACAGCTTGAAAAGTATTCTACGTGGGACTTCCCCTGGTGGTCCAGCGATTAAGACACAGCACTTTTACTTCAGAGGGCACGTCTCCATCCCTGACTAGGGAACTAGATCCTACATGCCACTCAGCACACATGTAAATTTTCATCCAGCTGTACAGTCAAGACCTGAGTACTTTACCATATCTAAATTATACCTCAATTTTAGAAAGAAAAGAAATGTACCCCTCCATTAAATGATTGCATGGTATAACCCTTATACCCAAAGTTACTGGCAATGTGAGTCTTTGTATAGTGCTTATATACTTTAAATTTTTAAAGATGTTGGTTAGTAATAATATCAGTATATAAACTATAGAGAAAAAAATTGTTAATGCTTAAGATGGACATAGTCACTGTTGAATGGGAGGTATCTCAGAAACTATGATAAAAGACTCAT